TCACGGTCTTCCGTCTCAAGATCTGCTCTCTAAAACTGGGCTCTATCACGGTCTTCGTCTCAAAATCTGCTCTTTCAATTTCTGCTCTCTCTCTCTCGAGCCTAGAAACCTGTATTCTTGTGAGCGTCATTACGCTAGAAGCTTGTTAAGCTTAATGAGCTCATCAAGGTGGGAAGGGGAGCTCTGCAGTACCACTCCTAGTCACCTTGTAAGTGAAATTTCTCCAGGGAAATGACTTACTCCATCGAGGAAGTGATATACATTACTCGCTGTGATGGTTTGTGGGGCCCTGCTGTGATGGTCTGTGGGGCCCTGCTGTGATGGTCCGTGGGGTCCAACTGTCTTGGTTTGTGGGGCCCCACTCTGCTGGTTGTGGAACCCTACTTTGTTAATCTATGCAGCCCACTGTACTGATCCGTAACCGCCACTGTGCTGATCTGTAAACCCCCACTGTGCTGATCTGTAACCCCCACTGTGCTGATCTGTAACCCCCACTGTGCTGATCTGTAACCCCCACTGTGCTGATCTGTAACCCCCACTGTGCTGATCTTTGGACTGTGTTGTTGAGGTGGTGTGGTAGCAGTTTCCCAGGCAACAGTAATTAGATTAAGTTACTCCTCGTCCTAGTAGTCTCGTCCGTTCCTTGTGAATGCCGGCCAGTTCGGGGAGCTGATCTGAAACGCCCTCTAATGAGGTACTCTGTAAACCTCATACAGAATGTCCACTCTTCCGACCCCACTCACCGCTGCTCTCCCACGCTGGGTAACCAAGGTTGATGGATCGATTACATTATCTTCATTTCATTACTACTGATCCCTTTGTATTTGACTGAAGAATCCTACTGTGTAGGCGAAATGTTTCATCGCTAAAGATACTCAATGGTAGAATTACCCACAAAATGTTAGGTACAAGGCCACGGATGCAAATAATGTGACAGTTTATCGTGGCAACGTTTTGCTTTCGGCTTGACGAAGCTCCTGGAGAGCGAAACGTTACCACAATAAAATGTCACATTAGTTGCACCTGAGTCCTATTTTCTAACAATCTCGTGGTGGTAGGGAGCGAACTCCCTTTCGTAAAAGATACGCTCTCATCCTCGGGAGAACGACCCAATTACACCGTACTAGAAACAGCAAAAATACACGCAACCGCTTCAAGTTACCCTCTCCGAGATACCTGATAACTGGTGGGTTCCATATTGTTTTAAGCCTGCCTCGGGAGACACAAACTTTGTGAAAGCCTTCAACACGTGCGATCATGATGTGACAGCACACACGATGCGTTACCGTAGTTACCGTGCGTTACGTTAAGTTAGGTTAGGTTAGGTTGGGTTAGGTTATATTAGGTTAGGTAAGGTTCGTCAGGAAACAGGACAAGTGCGCTGATAAAGGAATGACAGGAATAGTGGGTAGATGGATCTTCAACCATATCTAACCTGCATAACACAAAGAATCACTAAACGGAGTCCTTTGTGATACTAGATGACCTCTAGTATCACAAAGTGATACTAGAGGACATCTTGGTATCCTGGTGTTCGTCTTTTTTTTTTTTTACTGAGACAAATTACATGCACCAACATTACGCTACTACGCTATTATCTATGATAGTTACACTGTAGGAACACCCACGGTGTGCTGCTACCCTATTCTGTATGACAGTTACATTATGGGAACACCGCAGTGTACTGCTATCCTATTCTGTATGACAATTACATTATGGGAACACCGCAGTGTACCGCTATCCTATTCTGTATGATAGTTACATTGTGGGAACACCGCAGTGTACTACTATCCTATTCTGCATGATAATTACATTATGGGAACACCGCAGTGTACTACTATCCTACTCTGTATGATAGTTACATTGTGGAAACACTGCAGTGTACTACTATCCTATTCTGTATGACAGTTACATCGTGGGAACACCGCAGTGTACTACTACCCTATTCTATATGATAGTTACACTGTGGGAACACCTGCAGTATGTTGTTACTACCCTATTTAACATGATAGGGCCGTCCATTTGAAGGCTCACCAACTCAAATAATGGTCCATTTAGGAGAATTGCCAAGTAAATGAGAAATCCATCAACACCTCGGCTGCTTGGACCTCTCCAGCAGGAGGTTCGGGCATAGAGATTAGAATGACTCTTGAAACCGGTCACAGGTATTTCTCCGGTACGTAAGAGTGACTAGCTAAGACAGCCAGCTAGCCACAACATCGTCGTGTAACATGTGGGAATCTTAACTGAGGAAACGTTTCGCCAGCCAGTGGATTCCTCAGTCCAGTGCAGAAAATGACAGTAGAAGATGAGGAAGAGATTGAAGTAATCAATCCTTCAACCTGGACTCTTCTCTCCTAATCCACCTTCCATTCCCCTTTTGTTAAATCATCTCCTATTCCCCTCTCTCCTAATCCACCTACATTATCTCTGTCCATTCTACCTTCAATCCTCTATTAACATCCTCCATCTCAACATCCTCCGTCTCTCTCTCTCTCCCGCCCCGCCTCCTCTCTCTTGCCTCTCACCCCTCCCATCCTCTTCACTTCCCTCTCTCTTTCCCACTTACCCCTTGAGGGGATTGGCATTCGATGTCACTGGACGTCGTAATATAAATTCTGGGAAGTGACTAGCATTGTGGAGCAGGTCACAGCCTCACCCTGGAGGAGGAATACGATGACGAGGATGATTAGGAAGAGGATAATGAGAAAATGAGAACGTGTTTGCTTAGACTTCATCCTCTTCTCTGCAATATTGGAAGCTGCTGATGATGTGCTCATTGCAACACGAGATTACTAGAGCTATCATTCAACTCCCTTCCGTGGTTGTTTACCATATACATGTATGTATATATGTATGTGTATATATATATATATATATATATATATATATATATATATATATATATATATATATATATATATATCATATATAAACTTAAGCGGAATTTTCACCTGTAATCCGCTAGTAGTTACAACAAAGATCACTTTAATCTTTGCACAGAGATTAAGTTCAAAGTTGCTCTTGTTTACCAAAGTCAGTCCAGCTTTGTGTTGTCTGAACCTGAGGGCAGCTTGTTAGTATATAGAAGGGGAAAAGTGGCAGATAGACAAGCACACACTGACACAGGCAGAGAGAGAGAGAGAGAGAGAAGAGAGAGGAGAGAGAGAGAGAGAGGAGGAGAGAGAGAGAGAGAGAGAGAGAGAGAAAAGAGAGAGAGAGAGAGAGAGAGAGAGAGAGAGAGAGAGAGAGAGAGAGAGAGAGAGAGAGAGAGAGAGAGAGAGAGAGAGAGAGAGAGAGAGAGAGAGAAAGAGAATAACTCACCGTGTTCCATGAATGCATCAATTAAATTTTTTCTTCTTAGTCTCTGTCTGTCTATGTCTCTTTTTCCCTCTCTCACTGTGTCTCACACAAGCACACACACACACAATCAACATATCAACCTTCAACCTACACATTTTAATGCTCCCTACCATCGCCGGACAAGTTCAGACAGACGCCTCGCACAAAGACCAACCCAGGAGTCGAGATATCTCATGTTTTTAACAAGAGAGTGGATACCTGTGAAACAGAGAGATGCTGCAATGTCTCGTATTAAAACAATCTTGTTGATTGCGAGATGAAGACATCATGGCTGTTATTACCAGCTGGATTTTCTATATTCTACTGAGTGCTGTCAAGCTGTGAAATAAAAGGTCGTTGAAAAGGTACAAACTGAGACGTTTCTTCTCCGTCATTGCGTATACCAAACATTATCTGGCCGGTAAAGATGGTGCCCCGTGGCCTGGTGGCTAAACCTCTCGCTTCACACGGCGAGTGCCTGGGTTCGATTCCCAGCGAGGGTAGAAACATTGGGCGTGTTTCTTTACACCGGTTGTCTATGTTCATCCATCAGTAAAATGGGTACCTGGGAGTTAGTCGACTGGTGTGGGTCGCATCCTGGGACCAAACTGACCTAATTTGCCAGAAATGCTCAGCATAACAAGCAGCTATGGTCTGTATACCTTGTACATGTACTTGT